GATCGATCTCGTCATTGACTGCTTTTGCTCGTTCCGTGCCGAGGCGACGACGTTTTTGCTTTATCGGTTTAAAAGTCGTATCGACGTGGAGCTTGTGGGTGGTGATCATCGGGTTGATTCCTTTCATATCAGAGGTCGTCCAGGCAAACGTGGAAGTGTTCTCCCGGAGGAAAGCGATGATGCTTTCCTTCCTATCGTCCAGCAGATAAGCGCCGATTCGGACTACTTTACTCGGATCGCTTTCGTCGAGGAGAACTTCGATGACCTCTTCTTTCTGTGGATAGATCTTGTGTATGGGCTTAGCGACGACGTTGACGTGTGAATTATCCTGGCGGAGTTTTACAGCTGCGACCAGTAACTCGCGCGCTGCTCGTTGATCGCAACGCAGAGTTCGGATCCGACCATCGTTGCCCGGGAATTTGACACATTGGTGCAGGGTCGAAAAGACTTCCTTCATCGCATGAAGCCATGGCGTTCCGAGTATGACATGGTAGGGTGCTACAGTATTTATCACTGAGAACTTCACGGTTTTTGTCACACCGCCTGCGTATACGGGAAGTCGGATGGTTCCGATCATTTCTTCAGAAACTCCGTTGAACCCCGTGAGTCTCCGATTGGAGGGCTTCAAGTTCCGGAGATCGATCTCCATTTTTTCGAGCGTGTTTAGGAAAATGAGATCCACAGAGCTTCCTGTATCAATTAGGACTTTCGTGACTTCGCATTCGCCGATCCTGAGTTCTACTAGCAGCGGGTCGTTATGTGGCATATTTACGCCGATGGCGTCGGCTGGCGTAAATGTGATTGGCGGGCTATCTTTTGGTTTGGATGGCCATTTTTGCGAAGCGATTGCTTGACGTTGATGAGCTTTGACCGATCGGACCGAATCTCCGCATGGGGGGGATCCGCCCATGATGACATTCAACCGTGTTTCCTCCCTTACTTCCTCCCGGAATTTAGTGGGGGGAGCTTTCTTTCTATTGAGCAACTGTCTTAAATCTGGTGTTTTCGCCTTATCCAACACGTGCCTCAGATCTGTGGTGGTATGCTGGGGAAGGTCGGTTGCGACAGATGTTGCGCTTTTTTGTCGGCGCGCTTTCTTCAAGTTAATGTGTTCGCGGAGATCGTCGATCCTTCCTTCTTGACGACGGGAGTTAAGATATGCCTGGAGGTCCGAAGATCCTGCATCGTCGTCCGAGGATTAGTCTCCTTGCGTGAGGATGACTTGAATTCGCTTCCTATTTTTCCTCGTCGGACACGCCTGGGCGGTTTTCTTCTTCGCGCCGGGACTTATCGGTTGTCTTCTTAGGTCTTTTATCTTTGTTCTTGCTCCAGCTCTTTTCAGCGTTAGTCCTCGGCTTCGTTGGTTCAGCTTCTATCTGCCCCGCTGCGTATTTTGTGATAAGATGCTCGCCGAGATGTCTGCAGTCCTTCGTATCATGGCTCTTGGTATTGTGATATTTGCAGAATTTGTTCTTCTCGGTCCGCCTGGGGGATCGAGAACCGGATGGTGATTTGGCGTCCCCATCTTCACGGTAATAGTGATTCCACCCCTTTCCCCGAACAATGACAGTTGATGGAGGGGATTCGTCGCCTTCGACGTGGTAGATATACCCCTTCTTTCGGTCGCTACGATCTCCAGAGGAATGTTGACGGGGTTCTTGTTGCGAATCTTGTCGGGAGTCGTGACTCTTCGTGGTTCCTGGTTTATCTGGATTCCGTTTGTTGAGGATTGCGCGAGTGTCTTCTTCCATGCGGATAAAATTATGGGAGCGGGCGATAGCATCCTCTAATGATGTGGTCGGACTTCGGTAAAGGTCTTGGCGGAACGGCGAGTGTATGTAAAGTGCGTTCTGGAGTGCCTCGACAGCCATGCTATCCGGAGCGTTGACTTTGGAAGCCAAAGTTTTGAATTTTCCCATGAACTCCTTGAGGCTTTGGCCGGAAGTTTGCGACATCTTCCAGAGGTCGGAGGCCGTGGCTCCCTGGCGAGTGAACATGATGTAATGCTTTAAGAATGCCGAGGATAGGTCGTGAAAGCTATCGATGGAGTTTTCGGTCAGCCGAGAGAACCATGTCAGTGCTGGTCCGGTGAGACTCTCGACGAAGAGCTGGCAGAGTCCGGCATCTCTCTCTTCATCGGAAAAACGGGACCTTCCCATCACGATGTTGAAGGCGGTTACATGATCTGTCGGGTCGCTTTCCCCGGCGTAGGTGGGGAGTCTGAGTTTCTCTGTCAGGCGGATCTTGACGCTACTTATTCGCGCGGTGAAGGGAGTTCGCAGCGACTCTGCTAAGACGCGGTCTATCTGCGGTGCGGCGCTTGTGGCGTGATGGATCTGAGAAGTTATGGTCTGGAGCGACAGTTTGAGCTCGGCAATTTCTTGTGCGGTTTGAGAGTTGGAATCGCCAACTAGCTGAACGGGATCGTCCGTCGGGGTATCCTCGGGTTGCATCGGCTGGTTCGCAGGCGTTGGTGTAGGGTTGGTATTGAAGAGGAAATGGCGGACTGAAGCCACGTCGCGTGCCGCCCCTTTCGGAGGTGAAAAGATGGCGGCGATAGCCGCGAGCTGAGCGTTAGTTTCCTTCTGAGCCTCGTCTTGCTGAGCGAGACGGGCCATGACGGAGTCCATGAAAGTTTCGAGGGTCGGGACGACTGGAGTTTCCTCTGGTTGTATATCGGGAGAATCTACTTCTTCGTTCGGCATGTTCGTCACACGGCTTCGTTATGCCCCACGGTGGGCGCCAACTGTTTGAACCGAGTTCGGTGAAAACAAGTAAGTAATCGACGGAAACTCGTCGGTGGGTTATTTCGAAGATGTGAACGAACAAATAAGGAATAAAGAGAGATTTTATTTATTAGAGAACGAAGATTACAAGGGAAACAACGATGCTCGGAAGCCTCGTTGTTGTACGGACAGATCTAAGAATAACACTTTGGAGAAAATCCTAGTTTGGCTGCCGCTTAGTCCGTCTATTTTCGGATCCCCTTTTCGTTCTCCATCTCTTCGTTTTTATAGGTTGTTGTACGGAAAACCTAATGGGCCGTGTCCTTCGCTTCATGGGCTTCCTCGGTGGGCTTTATCGTGCTACTCGGTACGGACGATGACGTAAGCTCGCACGGACTCCCTTGTCGTGTTGCGCCCAAAAGCTCTCCTCGCTCGTGTGAACCGAGTAATGGGTTTGGCCCCTTTGTTCGACGGGCCTTGAGGGATGGATCTGATCCTATCCCCTACAGTTACCTTTCGTGTACGTTTAGAACAAATACAAAGTTGTATTTTATTACGATGAAAAATCTCTTCATTAGAGTAAGGAATTGATTATTTACATTTTTACAAGAATTTCCTATTAAATTATTTCCAAATAATATTACTACAAAATCTTTCAAATATTGAATAATACTAGAACTTAAAGTAATTAGGAAAATTAATTACAAATATTTAATCTAATAACACAAGAATTTGAAAGAATTGATGAAATGCATAATTGAATAATAGTAGAATTTAATGGAAACTATGTTTCCATCAAACTTATAGATCTAATACTCCAACCTATGTGGATGAGTCCGCACATGCATGCGTGCATACATTAATATTGTTCTTAGATAGATAAATATGTATGATTCACTATGATCTTATGTTTAACATATCATATATGTAATTAATCCTTCATGCACATATATATATATATATATATATTAAGACGGTCATATACAATTTGATAGAAAAAATATAGAAGTAATATTGTCAAATAATAATGATATTACAGACATTAAAGTAATTGTTCAATCTTATTTAAATAAACAAAATTTTAATAATAACGACGATAGTTTAATTTTCAGCACCACATCACTCCAATCTGATGAGCATTCGTTTGATTCAATTGCGAAAAAGAACCTTAGTTTAAAGACATTACATCAATAAATTAAATAATATATTTGTGGGAAGAATATTAGAATGACTCTAATTTATGGTGATATTACTAGAATGACTCATATTTTTTTGCAAATTATTAGAATGTTTTCGTGGTCAGAATTACCGCTGGCTATAGTTATACCAAAAAAGGGTCCCTCAAATTAGGTCGTCGGCATATTTAATTTGGAGAAAACAAATCTGCCGAACAACAGAGTTTTTAATCTATCATATGACACAACAGATTTTTCTATATTTTGTATGATTTGTATAAAAAAACTGATTTCTTAAATATGTCTGTCGAATGACACAACAGATTTGTATCAAACCATAGATTTTTGCGATAGACTTAGTTTCCAAAGACAGACTTGTTGAATTATGACGGATTTGTATAGAAAGTCTATTCTTCCTATGGTAGACTTAAGGCAAATCTATCACAGATTTACAAATGTTGCAGACTTGTTGCATTACGACGTGGCCGACTTGTTAGTTTACGTAGTGGCAGATTTGTTTAATTATTGTGGATTTTAGTAAACCAGTAGAAATTAAAGATTTTGGTTTATTTCGAACTTGGTTTATTTCTAGTGGTTTAAGACCACAATTAGGGCTAATTATTTTTGTATTAACTGTTGTCATCTCTTTCACCCCTCTTTTCTTCTTTCTGTCATGTCGTTTGGCAACTTACCTAATTCAGATTCAAGTATGAGAGATTTTATATCAAAACATAATGTTTTCTTAATTATTCTTTTATCGACCAACTCTTTATATTGTTAGGAATTTTTTTTATTTTAGTCAGTTTGAAGATGAAATCTATAAAATAATTCGGATTAACACAAATAGTGAAGAAAAAGATGTGTAAGAGTAAGACTTGTGACTCTGTGAGGCCATAACAAAATAGAATAAAGCCTAAATAATATTGTAAACAATAAAACTAACATTCTCTTCAATATAACATTCAAAAATCCGAACATAACTGTGTTCTTCCACATGTAAACTGATATAGCATCTCACTGTTAATCAAAGACACTGCTAAAAACAACTTTTTAATGAGATCATCAGCTCAAGAGACTCATAGACTCTGCAATCTTATTTCTAGCATGATTGTAATGAACATCTGCTTTGCTTCCATGTATAGGCTAGCTTGTGGATGATCACTCTCACACTCCCATGATTCAGTATACCTTCACTACCCGTCGGCATAATCTTCCCTGTTCCCATCAACGTTATTGGAACCACTGGAACTCTCGTACTGTGGCGTAGGGGATGATTGGTAAGTGCTGTGAGTGCTCTCCATTGCTCTTTTTCTTTCTACAACCACTTTATTTTACCAATCATGATGTAGAGGATTAATTTAAAGCTACAGCCCTAAAATTAAAATAGGAAATAAAATGTCTTTGGAAATCAGTTTTTCTAGAGCTTTACACTTAGTACTTTGAAAGTTATTAATATAAATCTACAGCAATAAAATCTACAACTGCAGCAATAAAATCTACAACTGTTATTCTAAAGCCAAAAATAAAAGCCACAGCACTTACCAATCATCCCCGTAAATGCCTCTTTCTCTAATGATCAGTTTTGAAGAAAGCAAGCATCCTTATGTGACTCCCTTGAACATAATCAAGAACCTTAGCAAGATTGTGTGTTTTACCTTGAAAGGACCTAACCGACCATCCTTACTCCTTGTTCCTTCTGGGAAGAAATACATAGATGCTCCCTTCTTCACTAGCTCCATGCATGGTTTCAAGCAATCCTACAGAATGTAAAAAAAAAAGTTAAAAAAAAAACACTTGAAGAGTGTGTAGGGTAAGAAAGAAGTGAGTGCATTCACACCACTCAGCTTCTAGGGTCCATGGTGGGCTGGCGTTGTTCCCTTGAAGCGGATGGACCGTCTTAAGCATATTGGCAGAAACGATACAAAAGCATATCATCCCTCTGAGTCTTGATCTCAACTTAATCTCTTCACTTTAAATTTCAAAAGACAAGAACGAATTTTTGTAGTCTTGCAAAGCAGATAGTTCACAAAGGTTTTAGCTAAAAAAAAAAATCTTGCCGATTCCACTAGATTTCTTAACATGGAATTTGTAAGGATCTCATCTTAAAGAGAGTAGGTTACACCTTTTTACACCAGCCTATGCCTAATTCCGACAGTAAAATTTGCACTCGGAACAGCTAAAGAAGAAACAAGTAATGATTTAAAAGATTCATATCACTTATAAACTTTTTGTACAAAGTTTCATGTTCTCCTGGATTCTCACGTCTTCCCAACATGCTATCCACCTAAAGGTTAATGTCTTCAGGAATTATAAGGTCGAGAAAATACACAAAAGCCTGGCTTCGAAGGAGATGTGAAACAGAGAACGCTTTCAAGCATACCTCATCAACAAAAATTGGGATTTAGGGTTTTGGAAATCTAACATGCAATCAAGCAATAATAGTCAAAAACGTGTAGAAGCAACTTAGAATTAGATAGATTTAGCACTTACGGGTTCAATTTTTCGCTGACAGAGGAGATGTGACGGAGGAGATGAGGACGACGAACGAGGTTTTTTACAGACGTGAGGAGACGACGAGAAGGGGCTGAGACGGAAGAGATGTTGTCGGAGAGAGCTAAGATCGACGGCGAGACTCGATTGGAGATTTCTCCTTTGTCGTCGAAGTCGTCGCCGTCTGATATAGAGAGACCCGACAAAATTAAGAACCCTTTTTCCATTTTTTAGTTTATGTTTATATTTTTTAAAAATCTTTTATGTTTATTTTCTCTTTTTGCAAATTAGAAGGGTTTTTTTTTGTCAATTTACCAGCATCTGAATTGGGTCTAATATTTAAATTTTAATATGAGTCATTCTAGTCATTTTAAGATAAATTTGAATCATTCTGAGTAATTCCTCTATGTTTTATATAGTTGAATAATAAGTATATAATATACTATGTCCGCAGTTTAACTAACTTCAGACACAACAAGGTTCCTCTAAGAATAACTAAACTTGGAAGTAAATCTAATAATCACAATATTGAGGGTTATTGATAATTTAATCAAATAATTACAAAGTAAAAACATCATATGATAAATTATTAATATGCCGAAATTGCTATAAATAGATTCCAGGATCTCTAGATTGTTGACAATGAACTCGATCTCGTTCAAACTGAAAGGGTACGCCACCTACTGCTTGACATTCAATTCTAAGTTTGATTTATAGTATATATATATATATATATATATATATATATATATATATATATATATATATATATATATATATATATATAGCAATTTCGGCATATTGTAATAATATACAACAAATATACCTCTCATTTGAAGTAGAAAACTCGGAAAAGCAAGATCGTTTTCCTTTGTTTCCTAATCCACAATAAGTTGAACTGGTACACAACTAATTATCTTGTCTATAACATCTGAAATAAGTATTTTCGTTAGACTAACATAATGACTGGAAATGTTTTCTAAAAAAAACTTAACTTATGTTGACACTCTCAAACAACAATTTTGAAGTCAAACCTCCTATGGAGTGATTCTGGAAGGATAAAAGTACAATGGACAGGATACAAAAGGAATGGACTTAACTATGGTGGATATACTAAATTTGAGTTTAAGTATGTTATTGATTGTCATGGTTCTACCAATGTTTTTTTTTTTTTTTTTTGGTTAAATACCAACTGTTTTCTCTTTATCTTGAAATCTTTTATAGAATACCAACTGTTTTCTCGGAAGTCATCGACAAAATATATAACACATTCATGAGGAATAGTCGTTTGGATTTTCTTCCTCTAAGCATTGAATGCACATTGACCATATTGATTACAAGATACTCTACATTAAGAATTGGTCAAAGCTCATAATGGCAAAGGTTGAATGGGTCTCCATGTGGACTGGTCTTGGATGGAATGTAGATGGCTGGATGTAAACCTCTACGGACTTCTACTTGTATGGAAGGCAATCCACTCAAATGATTTATAACACTCCCCCTTGGATGCCATAACCATATCGGGCTTGTAACATGCTTAATGTTGCCTCATTAAAACCTCTCCCGGAAAACCCAAAACCCAATGTGGTAAAAAGGGAAACAAGGGAAAGGGAAAAGAGTATAACACACATTACTCCTTGTTGGTGTCAAAATCGGTCACGACGGAGTCAATGGCTAAAAGTCTCCGCAAAAATAAAAATACGTTTTATAAAACACGAGAAGTTGTTTTATAAAATTCTAAGTATTTTCCAAAACAAAGGAACTCCACGGAAAACTTGGAGATCGTCATCTCGGAAGAACGAACGAAACAATCGTCGATTACACAATTTTCCACGTTAAGCGAGAAAACGCAAAAAACCGCATCCGCCGTAAATCGCGAGCAGGTTTGGCCAAACCAGTTCGACGTACGGCGAGCTGAACCGTCTCACAAACAGCTCGCCGTACCTCGAGCTGACAGTCCATGCCTCGACCTCCCACGTCCTCGACTCAAAGCATACGTCCTTCAGCTCGATCGTGTGATGAACCATGGTCGAAACGTCCCTCGTTTTATCTCGATCCGTCCTATCGTTCAAGTTTTACGATAAAAACCGTAAAGTCTTGTTTTCTCGAAAGAACTCAAGGAAATCGTATAAAACGGCAACGGTTAAACGAAACGCCAAACATTGCCTAACTATACAATTTACTCGAGATTTTTCGTGAGAAATCGTAAAAATGCATTTTTAATAAAACCTCGAGTAAATCGTAGAAAACGGCAATGATTAACCGGAACATCGAACATTGCCAAAGTTTTATGATTAACTCGAGAAAATTATTTAAAAATGGCATCGCATCAGGAAACGATCTCGTATAAAGTTGTAAAACGGTTTTATCGCAAAACGGCTCAAAAAGTCCTAAAACGCGATAAAAGCCTATCTCGCGACTTTAACGAAGTCTAGCCCAAAGATACGACGAAGTTTTAACGGTTTATTCGCAGAGAGAAGATAAATGTCAAATTTGAAGATAAATTTCAAGTTTGAGGATAAATAGAAGATTTCTGCAGAAAAAAGGAAAGATCAAGGTAAATGGAAGATTCTCGATAAACTCGTATCTGGGCGAAATGGAATGACTAAACTGCCTAGGAACGGATTATATAAGCCAAAGGCAGAGAACAGAAGAAGACGACGATTTTGAGAGCTCTCATCTGAGACTTTTACAACTTTTCTAGACTTAGAATTTCCCGCACTTAGAAACCTAGGCTTTATTCTCGAAAAATTTGGTTTCTATGACTGGCACTCAATTACTAGATGAATTCGCCGAGGCAGTTCGATCTCTTGTCCAGCTCTATCAACTGAAATACGTTTGACTTGATCCTCGAAAGGGGTACGTAGGCAGCCTTTCATAAGGTTCAGTCCGAAATCAATCAAACTCTCTTTTCTAATCTTTTTCGTCTTTTTTTTGTCGAGCTGCGACTCGACTAGGTTTAGGGTTTTATGTTAATAAATAGCTGATGGCCCCCGCGGCCAAAGCCTTTGTAATCTCTTGTAAAGATCGCAACGCTCTTACGCGAATTCGAAATAAGATCAACTTTCATTATAAAATCGTTTTATCATGTTTTTCATATTTTCCGCATTTATTTGGTTACTTGTCGTTGGCTCTCGCAGAGATCCGGGTCCTCTGGAAAATTAGGGTTTTCCTAAGTTTCCTTATTTTACGGAAATCGACGGTGTGAATTTCAGTTCCCAAAGTTTGGCGCTAAAAGAAAGGGGGTCGGATTACTCTTACTCATAGCCGCAAAACGCTTGATCAAAACGATGTCTGTAAATATGAAAGACAAAGTCGCGGCTTGCAAAAACCGTTGGTAGAACAACTCCAGCAGCGACTACTTCTATAGCCAATGCTCACGCAAACGCTGTAGTAATTAACAAAATCAAAAACCTAATCGCGAATTTTCTCCACTGGAAGAGCAACAAAACAAGCTCGCAATTTCTATCTCAGAATAATAAGGGCAACGATAAAATCTATCAAACCCCATAGTGTTTTCTTATTTCCGAGTTGGACAAGTCTCATTACATATGGGTTGAGCAAAAGACATTTTTCGAGAACATCTCGGAAAGATAAAACTTGCTCTCCCAGAAACCGCATAATAAACCGTAGGTTACTCACGTGAAAGACCCTAGGCTACTCGCAGAATTGGGCGATACTATCTGGCTCGAAAAGACGGTGAGTTAGCCAAGCAACCCAGCTTGCCATCTTGGCGAGCTGACCGGCCGTCCACCTCGCCCGCGAGGCACTGACTTTGCCCCAAGGGTTCTTACCGTCCAGCTCGCCATACGGTGACCTAGCCAAGCTAAACCAGCTCGCCGTACGGCGAGCTGAACCGTCCAAAGCCAGCTCGCCGTACGTCGAGCTGACCAGCCTTCCACCTCGCCTTCGAGGCACTGACTTTGCCCCAAGAGTTCTTATCGTCCAGTTCGCCATACGGCGACCTGGCCAAGCTAAACCAGCTCGCCGTACGTCGAGCTGAACAGCCTTCCACCTCGCCCTTGAGGCACTGACTTTTCCCCAAGGGTTCTTATCGTCCAGCTCGCCATACAGCAACCTGGTCAAGCTAAACCGTTCAAGACCAGCTCGCCCTACGTCGAGCTGGTACGGCGAGCTGGTACGGCAAGCTGACTAGCATTTCACCTCGCCCTTGAGGCTCTGACTTTGCCCCAAGGATTCTTACCATCCAAATCACCACACGGCGAGCCGAAAGGGTTCACCCAGCTCG